GTCGGCTCCACCATTGCACAAAATTTAATGAGGGGTCTTAAGGGAAAGGTGCGGGCTTTCAGCGATGGAAAGGAAATTGAAGAAAGTAATTATGCCGAAACATAATCCATATGTATTAGTTCATTACCTGAACGTTTCAAGAAAATCTGACTTAAACTAAATTTTTGGCGAACACTTTTGTCCAGTGGCGTCGCGTAACCTCACTTTTTACCTGTTCAACAACTTTGAAAACGTTATTTAAGGTCATGTTTACATTCAAATCAGTTTCAAAAGGCATAGGGTCTTCTAATTTCACTGATTTGTATCCATTGAAACCAATATTGTTTTGTTTGTTTACGTTTTGAGAGTTGTTGAACAGGTAGATTGAGGTTAGGGCGACGCCACTGCTTTTGTCTGGTGCATTTTTTTCGAGTACAGGCCTTAATGCAGTTGAAATTCTCTGCAGAATACTCTTTGAATTCACTCTGCAATTCTCTTCAAATTCTAAATAATTTTCAAAGTAGGTGAGTAATCTTACGTAGGAATTCCCCAAATAATTTTCCTGAAAATTCTCTTGGAATTCTCCTCAATATTCGGAACGTATTCTTTCGATATTTCCATGGAGTTATTCTCGGAATTCCTTTGGAATTCTATTGCAGTGATCCCATAAATTTAATCAAAATCCCCATGGATTACACCTAGAAATCACTTTAAAAACTCTCGAAAGTATTCAACAGGAATTTTTCTCAATAGAGCTATCCTAGAAATTGAGAAGGATTAGTAATTCGGGGAAAAATTGATTTTTTTTTAGTTTATTTATTAGTTTACATCAACAGACTGAGTGTAGCCCCAATGATTTTTAAGTGAATAACATTAAAATACATAGTCCAGCTTACTAAAATACACAATACAATGAAAAACATGGTCATTCAACGGTTTACTGCGTCAGAGAAAATACGGGAAAAGCGCCGGCGTAGCATCTCTCGTGTCAGGTTGAAATTGAACACTGAAGAAACTCGATTGAACACACGTTGCAGGCCGTCTATAGCACCGTTCATGCTATAGTTAGTGCGATGCTGAGGCAATCTTAACATAGCGTTATTTCGCAGCGCTCGGGGTTGGACGTTCTCGTCGATCTTCTCCAGGATTGTAGAACAATCAATTCTACCCCCCCCCCGATGAGCAGGGCCCGCGAAGTGTCTCTCCGAGTACGTAGAAGCTCCATATCAATCAGTTGACATCGACTTTCATAACTGGGTAGACGAAAAGGGTTTCTCCAAGGCAGCTTCCTCAGAGCAAATCGAAGAACTCGACGCTGAACGGACTCAACTCTTTCAGCACCATTGTTATAGTTTGGGTTCCATACTGTAGAGCAATATTCCAGGGTGGACCGCTCCAGGGAACAGTATAGCGATTTGAGACAATATATATCGGAAAAATTCTTTGCAATCCTGAAAATGAATCCCAAAGATCTTGACGCGAGATGTGTTGCTTATACTTTAACTGGGAATCTACAATAACTCCCAGGTCTTTTACGTGGTTGACACGACTGATAGTTGTTTCCTGAAGTACATAATTGAACATGATCGGTTCCTTCTTGGGAGTGAAGGTGATAACTGAACACTTCGCGGGGTTGACCTCCATTCGGGCAACTTGACCAGTTAGCAAACGCTTTGAGCTGACATTGGAGGAAAAGACAGTCATCGATAGAACGGATCCGGATATAGATTTTAAGATCATCTGCATACGATAGACGAGAGCCTTCGATGACCAGATTCACGTCGTTAAAGTACAACAGGAAAATCAACGGGCCTAGGTGACTTCCTTGAGGTATCCCTGACGTGGCTGGGTAAGTAGCAGACTGACATTCACCAACGGTTACCATCAGCTGGGATAAGAGCGAAACCATCGCAGGAGGTTGCCATTTACCCCGATTCTATCTAACATAGCAATCGCAATTGCATGGTTCAGTTTATCGAATGCAGCCGACAAGTCGGTGTAAATTACGTCTGTTTGAGCCCGTCCTGTCATGCTTTCCGTGACATACGATGTCAGACAAAGTAGATTAGTGGTAGTAGAACGACCGGAAACGAAGCCGTGTTGATCACTACTTAGATACTGCTTACAATGAGAGAGCAGGGGATCCATGATGACTAACTCGAATAACTTCGAAACTGAGCTCAACGATGTGATTCCACGGTAATTATCCACGTCCCGTTTGTTTCCCTTTTTGTGAACAGGAAACATATGTGCAAATTTCAAACAAGATGGAAATATACCACTCGAGATGGACATGCGGAATAGATGCTGCAACGGTGTCAGCAAGCTGGTGATATGCTTCTTCAGAAATACTGATGGGACACCATCGGGTCCTGGGTTGAAGGACGACTTAAGTTGTTGTGCGGCAGTGGAAATCATCTCGACGTCGATGTAAATTGCACCCAACGCTTGACCGGAGAGTGGTACATTACTAGCTGCTAGGGTAACGTGGTCGTCGGTTAATATCGCATCAGAGAATACGCTGGCAAACTTGTCTGAAAACAAGCGACAGATCTCCTGGGAGGTGGAAGCAACTCCTCGTTGAACATCATTGACGATGGTAGGCCAGACTCTTTGCGCTGCTCGTTAACAAAATTCCAGAAGGACTTCGGGTGTGACTTTAGTTTACTCTGAATCCCACGTTGATATCGCAAATAGCATCGATGGCTAACTCGCTTGAACTCATGATTGAGCCTAACGTAATGATGTTTCAGCGACAACGTACGATACTTGGTGAATTTCCTTAGTGCCGCTCGCTTGGTCCATTTCAACTTTCGCAATTGGCTCGTCTGCCAAGGAAGGTGTGACCCTTTTCGGTGAACTCTCTTTGGAACGTGTCTGTCAATGACATACGCCAAGACAACGTTATCAGGGTCCAGGACGCTTCCACAGTCTATGCTAGACAGCACGTCGATGATACTATGATCAGCTTTTCGAAAATCGTATGACACGTTTGTGGAAATGTCTTCAAAATCCCGAACGTGACTATCTTGGACAGTGACAACCAAAGGAGGATGATGAGGAACTAGCTTTACTAGTTGAGAAGATGCCGTGGATATAACTGGAGCAGTGTCCTGAGCGCTAACGAAACAGAGCTCTAAGCTTCGATTGTTCTCGTTAACTACGTCATTGATTTGAGATAGCGTTGCCGCACTACAGCTATCGAGAAGGCTAACTGATCCTGTATGAAATACAGAGCGTACAGGGTCTGGATAGAGAAAGTCACTGTGAGATGGTTTCCACGAAACACCAGCTAGATTGAAGTCACCCAGAACAATTATCTCATCAACTGGAGTTGCATACGGCGAAAACAGACCGACAATGGGTTTCGATAAGTTCGATGTCAAGAGCAATGTACACCGCACATATGTACAGTGTGCGATTAACACCTTCTTCTTCTTCCTCGCATTTCAAGCTTATTGCGTATGGCATATTAGCTTATTGCGTGCTCTCAACTTAGTGTTCTAGATGCACTTCCACAGTTATTAATTGAGAGCTTTCGATGCCTGTACCATTTTGCATTAGTATAATTGTGTGGCAAGTATAATCATACTCTATATCTATACCCAGGGAAGTCGAGAAATTTTCCAACCCGAAAAATTCCTAGACCGGACCGGGAATCGAACCCAGCCACCTCCAGCATGGTCTTGCTTTGTAGCTGTGCCTTTACCGACTGAGCTAAGGGACGTCCCACGATTAACATACATACATTTAATTGCACTACTTTAACTACATATCCTTGACAAATACATGCCTTTTGGTTACAATGTGCAGCCTTCTTCTTCAGTGTCTTATACTAATAGACTAGTTTCACTAAAGACGCCAGTATTCATCAGAATTTTCCTCGGAATTCAATTTTTTGCAATTTTTCAGAATTCCTTTAGAATTCCCATTGGAATAATTCTAAGAATGTAATTTGCAATCGTTTCAGAATTCTCTTGGAATTCTACTCAAAACTCTCCTTAGAATTAACTTGCAGTTTTCCACACAAATCCTGCAAATTTTCTCCAAACTTAGTTTAGTGCTTACGGAGTTCGTGCTTCATTATAGCCTAGTATCGATTGAGATCCTTCGGCACGGAATTGACCCCATTCATCTTGTACCACTCCATAACGTCGTTGAAGTAGTGGCAAGAGGCTAGATCCGGCTATACCGGCTTGTAGGAACGTTGTGTGATTTGAGAAACGGAAGCAGTCGTTTCTTCAGGCACTCATTCATGTAGACTTGGGCCATTTACGGTTGTTGTTGTTACGAAAGGCTTGCTCCGTTTTCCGTACGAACAAATCGCCTGCCAAATCATGAATTTCTTGGGGAACTTCGACACTTGCTGTTTCCTGAGGGACTCTGAAATATCGAACTTGTCTTTCGCAGTCACATACTGATTTCCCGGAATTTGAATTTATACAGGCAGTGTGGTTTTGTCAACAATATTTGTGTGTACCGCTTACGTGCCCGCGTTCTAGCTGTTCTATTCTGTGGTTCATTGCGGTTTGATGCTTTCTGAACCTTGAGTGAACGTAGTCCTGCTAGGTTTCTTGACTTTCTGCACGACATCCCTAACGGAATAATTGGGTTTGCCTTTGAAGGTAGCAACCACTCTTTTGTGAACTTCAACGCAGTATAGAACACTTTTTCTTGCATTCACTTGCTTCCGATCCACAGTTAAACGTTCTCCAGAACGTTTTATGACACGAGAAACAGTTGATTGTTGGATTCCCAACATCTTTCCGATGGCTCGATGCGAAAGATGTGGGTTGTTGAGGTAAGTGTGCAAAATGTTCTCGTGCACGCGCTGTTCCTGCGATTCCATTTTCAAAACTACAAGAAATTTCACAATGAAACTCACGCAGTGTAAACAATACACGCGAGGCCATCTCACCCAAATTCTCATTAAAATTAATTTCATATGGCAAAATGTTACAGCTTTGTTAAAGTGATGCAATTTAACTGTGGAAACCCTTTATTGTAGAATTCCAACTTACCTGCTACCACAAACGGTGTAGGTGTAGATTCCGCGACAGCACTGACCGTACGTCGTTGGTAAACCTTAGCGCATCTAGTAGAGGTAACAGTGACAGCAGGCAGATGTCCATCGGGTCCGAGAACCAGGATTTGATTGGTATTGCATTGTTCGGGAAACACCGATACGCACCGGGTGAGTTGTCGATGATGAATATCTGGCAAGAGTGGAAAAAAAAATTTAATTTAACGATAATCTTATTTTAAGCCAATCAAAATCATCTGCACAATGCTTACTCTGTTCAGATCGCCGCAGATTGCCGACAGGTCCTTGGTGTACGAGCCAAAGTCCGGCGTACAGTGCTGTCGGTAGTAGCGACGCTTCAGAATGTTGCGACCATTGTCAAGCTTATCGGCGACCGCAGCGCCGTAGATTTCCATACTGGCGGTGAAAACGACTAGATCGTACCATTGCGATACCTGCGAAAGTTACGAGCATTAGTTTACATTTCGAGCTAATGTTATTTTTTAATCAAAGTAAAAGCTAGTTTATCGAGTATCTCAAAAAGCAACAACCATGAATGTACCCCCTACGAGAGCGATAATGCTTATCAACCTTATCACTAGGTGAGGACTGTGAGTGAGAAAACCGAACAAATTCGTCAACCGTGATGGTGCAACACAATCATCAGCTTGATTCTCGTAATGAATAGCATAATTCACGCTGAACTTTTCTTATCTGTGCCAAAGACTGATAAGATTAACTAGCTAGAAAGATAAGTTAAGTTAAGTTTTCTTTATTAGGGAGGCAAAGCTAGAAAGATAAGACATCGAATACGCCCTATAGAAAATTGAATGGCCGAATTCCAATTTGAATATAGCGAACAATTCACGTGTTACTTTTCAAAAGGTCCTAAGTAACAAATGTAGACATACGAGTTACTCGATAAAAAACTATTGCTCTTCTATCATTGTATGTGATTCAAACACACCCATTCAAATTTACTTTCATGTATTTAAGATAATCAGAGATAAAAAAATTTCATATGTACAGTTTGAACTGATGGGTTCTGATTGTTACTTCGTACATTTGGACTGCCTAACACGATTGGGGCTCATTTTCTAAAGGCGGGGCATGGTTAGGTTAGGTACTCTATTCTGAAATCTGTGAAAGGGAATCTAATATCATGTAGAACAAAACTCGACTACTTTTTCGAAGGGACGTATCAGCTTTTGTAAACAATGCATTTGATCGTCGATTTGGCGTAACTGGTCCACCACTATCAGGTAGGGGAAAATTTCCCCTATATGATGGTACTGTTAGAATGTGTGGGCGAGCTACCAGTTACGCCAAATCGACGATCAAATCCATTGTTTACAAAAGCTGATACGTCCCTTCGAAAAAGTAGTCGAGAAAACGTGATTATGTGCGTTTCCCTTGCAAGGCGTTTATGCGGAAGTTGTGCTGTCTCTGCTTAATCCGTTCTTGTAGTCATCTCTGGTAGATGTAACAATAGCTGCAATGTCCAAACTTACGACTGGATGCTTTCCTTCAGATAACAACTTAAGTGCGGTAAAAATCGATAGAACTGTTTCAAACACATCGTCGGTACTTGAGCCACCGACACGGTCATCTCTTTTTGCCAGTGGTGGCGGAGGGAATACCCCTCACCATCCCTCTCCAACGGGGGAGTTTGGTAAAGAGAGATGATCAAAACCGATTTGTACCTTCCTAAAGTTTTCCTTGTTCGCTTTCTACTCTAACGGAACTATCAATTCTATGCTTTCATCTCCTCATCTATCGTATAAAAATTACCACTTTAGTCTGTTATTTGAAATTAGCATCTTCAACTAAGTCATCTCTTATTTTACGCTTGGCGGAACGGATTGTGTCCCGACATACATTGCGTTTTAACCTGTAGTCTGCAGCTACAGCCTGGGCGTATTTTGAACTAGTACTGTGTGGTGCCCGTTCATCGCTCACTTTAGACCAAAATCAAGTTCACATCGTTAGTAAAATTACTTATGATAAGTATATTAAGCATATGTTTGCACTAGCTTGAAGATCATTATCATAAGAATACAGCTAAAACATAAAACATCCAAATTGTATTCAAGACATATTAGTGCATGTAACCAGGGTTTTCATTCACCGCTCATGTCGTAGTGGAAATATTTACTTTTTGGACTGTCTATCTTTTCTGGCCATTTAACGCGTTATATGGCTTGTAAGTTATTAAGGTATTAGATATTGAACTCGCCTTTGATATGAAATATTGGAAGTAATATCTATTTTAAGTTTATTTTTGGAGTGAGCGGTGAAGGGAACCCTTGATCGTTGTAGGGCTCTATTAACCGCTCATATGGATGTAAACAAAAGTTTTTTTTTTCAACAATAAATAGTGAAATAAAAGTACCGATGGTTAAATATGATCTCTAGGCAACTTAAACGAGTGAACAAGTCGGTTAAACGCATGTTTAGAACTTATTTTAGGATCTTTTTCAACCAATTTTGACAGAATGAGTGGTGAATAGGTATCACACCACAATATCATTGAAGCATCCAATAATTTCATAATTCGGATAAAAAAATTTATAGCCAAGTGAATCGAAGCAACATATAACAGATCAATATATCCATAATTAAAAGCAGTGATGAAGAATTCATTCGATCAAGGACATAGAGTAAATATTTACCTTCTATGTAACTTTTACATTATAATAGTTGTTAATTTACTGTAAAATGTATTAAAACCGTTCACTCCCATACAATTTACTTACTACCTCTTACTACCAAGAGAGTAAACTACTTTGTCTCTCATGCAATTCTCTCTCTTACGAGCTGAATTTCTCAACATGCAGGCCTGGTAGCGATCACTGCTGTTAAAAATAGTGATTTAATTGAGCATTTTGAAGAAATAAGGGATCAAATAGTGACTTATAGTTGTAAAAATAGTGACTTAAAAGTGACCTAAAAGTAAATTTTAATGAAAACTCTTAGGAATTTCTGAGGAGCTTCAGAGGAAAATTCCAAGGGCATTCTGAGCATAATTCATAAAGTTTGTGGGAGAAAACGAATCCGGAGCATAAGTCCTTGGATTTTTTTTAAAAATGCTAAGGGAGGATTACAATTAAATCTGAGAATAACTCCAGGACATCTTCACAGGAATTCGGAAAATTAATTCAGGAGAGTTTGTCAAACAAATTATGAGAGGAGAAATGCCAATTAATTCTTAGGACACTTTCAATGTGAGTAGAAACCCAAGGGAAGGAGTGAGATTGAAAAGGAAATCTGAAATGAATTCAATGCATATTCGGAGAATCTTTCGAAAGAGTTTCTTATTGTGGAGAATTCCAAGGAAAACTAAAAGAAAATTGAATTCGGAGGATAGCTTCACCAAAATTTTGAGGAATATTTCAATGGAAATCTCCGTAGAATATGGAATGGACTATTTTGAGGTTTTCAGAACTACTTGAAAGTTCCCAATTTTTTCCTGAAGTTCATGAAACTGCCTTGAAGTTATTTTGTAGTTTGAGAAAATAGCCTGGAGACTCACAATACTTCTCAAATCAAATTCTTAAAGTTCCCTGAACTTTTTAGGACTTCCTAAAGTTTCCTAATTTTTTTCAATGACCATGGATCTCTTCTAAACGTTTAACAATTTGCTGAAGTTCTCTAAACTTCTTTAAAATTTATGTGACTTCTTTAATGTTAACGGAACTGCTCTGAGGTTCTTTGTTCTTTTCTGAAATTCTCAAAACTTCTAATGAATCTTGTTGTATTGCGCTGAATTTAATTGAACCGCCCTAAAATGTTTAAGCTTCAGTGAGCTTCTGAACGTAAGCGAAAATCTGGGAACTGATTTAACTTCCCACTAATTTTCTGAAACTAAAGGAACTGGCCTCCCCAATGTTCATAAAAAATCCTGAAGTTCGCGGATCTCTCCTTAAACTCCATAGATTTCTATAAAGTTCTCGAAATGTTTGTGAAGACGACAGTCTTTCTGTGAAGTTTTCGAAGTTTTTATAAATTTCTGGAACTTTTGTGCTACCGCAATTTTCATGGAATTAGAACGAAATAATTAATATAGTTCTATGATTTTCATTGAAGTTTTCAAGATTTTTTTGAAGTTCACTTCCCTTAAATTATCGACACTTATTTAAAACTTCTTCAATAGTCTAGACTTTCCTGGTGGTATTTAAACTGCCTAAACGATTATTTAATTTCCTTTAACGTTCTCTAGACTGCCCTGAATTTTCAGTATTTTTTAAGAACCCCCGACTTTACTGAAATTCAACTATTTGCCTTGAAGTTTCGACAATTTCCCTTAATTATTATAACCATTATAAGCGGTCCCTAATTTTCCCTGAACTTATCAATGGTTACCTGAAGTTTTTTTTAAATTTGTTTAATAATCCGGCAATTTGTTTGATATATATTCATGATTCCCTGAGTTTCTCGCAACTTCTTTAAGGATTTTACAGTTTTCTTGAAATTGTTTGAACTACCCTTTGATTATATAATCTGTCTTGATGTTCTATTGAAGATCTCGGTTCTGCTGCCCGGAAATAAATGGAATTCCCGTAAAAACCTTTAAATTTCCCTGAAATTCTCTGAACTTCTGTGAAGTTTCTGAAATATTTCTGAAGTTTTCATAAATTCTCTGAAGGACTCTGTACTTCCCTGAAATTCTCGGAACATCTTAGGGGTTCTCTTTTTTTCAGCATATCATGGAACTGTCCTGAATTTTTCTAAATTTACGATTATATATATTCAAACTGCTCTAAAAGTCTGGAAACTGCTCGTAAGGTCTGAATTTCCCCAAAAAAATCTCTAGATCTAGCTTTTCTGAGGTACTTAGAACTTCTTACAAAATTGCACAATACCCCTCATGTTTTCTATATTTCTCAAGTTCGCTTGACACCTGTGAAGTTCTCTGAAATTCTAGAACTTCATAAATTTTCGGATGCTAAAAGAACAGCTTTGAGGTTCTTAAAGCTTCCAGAAAGTTCCCCATATTTTCAGCGTATTGACTTCCCTTATGTTCCCGCAGTTTGTTTATGGAGCTTCACTGAAATTCTCATCATTTCTTTTCATTACTCATTAATTCGCCAAAGTTCCTACGAACTTGAAATAAATCATTTATTTTTTTCCTTGATTCTGGCACTTTGAAAATTTTCAATATCTTGCACTTGTACATGCAATACGAAACTTCAAGATATTGAATACTTTTAGATCTTGGAATTACTCAAATTGGGGAAGTTTTTTACAACTTTATTAAGTGAGAAATTAAGCAAGTGATAAACTTCAACATTCAATGAATTTGATTGTAAAGCTGTTTCTTTAAAACTGATTGACATGTCTTAAAAACGTTTGGGTAAACTTCTGTTGTTTTTGATCTACAAAAAAAAAAGATTATTTTTAACGCATTTAAAAATTTATTATAAACCTGGAATTTATCCGTTAAAATACTGGAAAAACCTGGAAAAGTCAGATAATTTTATTTAGAAAAATGAATAGACACCCTGTAGATAGAGAAAGACGATTGAACGCCTAAAGCAAAGAATGATCAATCTTGAAATAAATTCACGCTAAAAAAGTTGAAAATAGTGACTGATTACAAGAAATAGTGACTTTAGTGACTTGGCCTTAAGAAAAGGGACTTTTTAGTGACTGTCACTAAAAAGTGACTCACTACCAGCCCTGCAACATGCCATGTATTGCGATTTGTGATATCTCTCTTACTCACAGACTTCAAAGTAGAGTACCTGACCTGACACTGAAAAAGTTGTCGGTACCCTTATTTATACATTAAGAACGACACTATAAGTCCTTCCTTTTAAGCATACTCGACACAACAGATAATTTCAAATCTCCACCCTTAGCGGGATTTCACGTTTTTTCTTTGATTGGAGCGGGGCTTTCGAAGAATTGTTGTGTTGAGTATGATTAAAATTGGGATTTCGGATGTGAATCTAAATGCATATTTAGAGGTACCAAACATGTTTACAGTGTCAGGTACTCGATTTTGTAATTTGCAGGCCAGTGACAAGGCCTATTCCAACAGCAGCGAGGCAGCAAGTCCCGGGCTCAAATCGTTTATTTTCCTGTGCTGGGCCCGCTGTCACGGTATAACATGTTGCCTACGCGCCTGCCACTGGGCTGGTAATTTGTGATAGGTTTGTTGACTTCACTGCCCTCTGTTAACAAGTACCGGAAATTTACGATAGATGTCGCAAAACAACATTTGTGATATCTGATGACCAATAAGCGCAGAAACAAAGTCCATCGTCTATCCACCACCATTTGTCAGTAATCCTTCAACCAATTGAGCTGACTTTTTGTGAGTGTTAAGTTTGTGGTGGCCCTAATTACATACAAAAAATAAGCTCAATTGGTTGAAAGATTTCTGAGAAATGGCGGTGGGTAGACGGCACTACCCACCACGCAAATCGTAGATTCCTGTATTGTTCTCTTACAGCAACTTACAGCAAAAGCTGTACCCTACCCAACCAAAACAAACAAATAAAAAAACAAAGATACTCACAATATCCAAAAAGTAGTCCACATGGGGCCGCTTGTGCACGAAAAACCGCACCGGATGCCGGTCGATGGTGACCTTGACGGTGAAGTCGTGCGGCGTGCCGGGTTTCACCGTGTTCCGTGGCATCGCGTCATGGTGCGAGTGGATCAGCGTCTCGTCCAGGTCCAACACCAGGGTCTTGCGCTGGACCATGCCGAGCCGGTGCCGGGACACCGGCGACAGCGGGAATAGTTCATATTTCACCGGTTGATGCTGTACAAACTAAGTCAGTCAGATTATCGTAGGAAAAGAAAAGGCAAATCATTTGGTGTGATGGTGATACGGTGGTGGCGGGTGGCGGTGGTTGAGCGTGAATTTGGTTACGGGGGGTAGTTTATTTCGTGTTCAGATCAACTAGCAGCGGGGCAGCAGTGGCAGTGAGATTTGCAAGGGGGCATAGACACGGATTTTTTTTTTCCATTTCGCATTTGTTTGTTGGCGAACATCGTGGATGATGAGAAGATGAGCAAAAATGAGAAAGGAAACATAAGCAAAATGGTCAAGCAGCAGCACTTATATTTGCGGTGGGTACTTTTGGGTCGAACAAAAAAAAAGACGAAGCAAGCGAGTGTGAGCGTGCCAAGTGATTTATTTTTGCAAGCGGCATGAACGTAAGTAAGCTTTGAATTCAAATGAGCGAATGAGTGGAGTTCCTTCCTCCAATAGGAAACGTTGAGGTAGCAAGGACAGGTACCTAGTATTGATTATACACACGGGACGCAAGATAAACTCGGTACGTACGTACGAGTAGAACGATGTTTTATTGTTCGTATGACAAGTGATTATATCACATTAACATTCAATTATTCGAACCGATGCGTAGAGCGAATAGTCAATCAATGAACTTCCGACAATACCTATTGCTTGAAGGATGCAAGTAATGCCATCACAGCTGAAAACTGGAAAAACCCACTAGCGAAAATCGGTTTTACTCTCGTTCTATACGTTATACATGGTGTCGAAAGTAGTGTGCTGTAATTGAACAATGATGCGCTATAAAGCGCACAACTTCCGACACTATGTATAACGTATGGAACGAGAGTAAAAGCGATTTTCGCTAGTGGGGTTTTCCCATTTTCAGCTGTAACGACAATATTTACAGATAAATGAGGACATCATCCACATAGCGCTGCAATACGGTCATTGACCGGCAGCTAGAAATCAAGAGGCCATCTGTTCCGATCCAGTGATAATACATGTACATACACACGACAAAAGAAACCCAAGAATTAATGATAAATGCATGTTGCATTTTTATCTAGAAGTCACAATCCATACTTTTTTCTTTCTTTTTTTTGTGGCGGTAGTTCGCGTATGTGTTGCTGCACTTGGGCAGACAGTGTGGGAATTTTTTCACAATCTGTCTAATTATTGTTGGCAACGGGCCAATACCTGAGCGAACAACAAGCAGACACGATGTTGGAAAAGGTAACAACATATCTCTCCAGTCGGAAAAGCGATTATGAGGTTATCAAATTAATGAAGCATTCGAAGGGGGTGCTGAGGTTGACAATGTTATCTCGCCTTTTTTATAAGTCCTAACTGTTTGTTCATTAACGCTTAAACCCCCAACGTCTGATACTGAAAATGCTAAAACATTGAATTTAGGAAATTAAATTCCCGGGAGCTCAAAATATGTTTCCCGGTTTTATATAAACTGATCAATATGATAAGAAACGAAATACCGGCATGATTGATGTCTCTGGTAAAAAAAATATGGCATTTTATTTTAACCCTTAGTCTGTGTCAAAAAAAAAAAAACTTGTCTGTACCTTAAGGTCAATTTGAACCCAAATTCAAATTGTAATATCTCAGCGAAGTTTCGACGGATTTTAAAATGTGTAGTGTATTGTAAAGTAAATTTAATGTACTTTCAGTTTACATTATCAAAGTTTATTTTAAGGGGTGGATCTCTCTTAGGGAGGGATCATTGTAAAAAATATGCACATGAAGTGGCATATTTTGATGTTAGAGATGTTTATATCACGAGATCTCAACCAAATAGGATGTTGCTTTCTTCTGCAAAGATATTCAATAATACAAGGTATGACATAATATACTTACTAGATGGCGCTAAAACGAAAAGGATCAAGTTGCGCCATCTTATATACACATCATATAACGCTATCTATAGATCCTTCTCATATAGATTGTTCCCATCTTGAGCAAAGTTGTTCAGATGGACAAGACCAATCTTAAAGTGAAAGTTCAGATCAGAATTTACTCACCAGGTGGCGCTAGTGAGGCATTCATTTTGAATTGTTAACATTTTGACTAGATAGAAGGTTCCCGTCTTGCGCAAAGTTGTTCAGATGTACAAGATATATATATTATGGTTAAGAGCTCAGCTCTTAATTCACTCACCAGGTGGCGCTAGTGTGACATTAATTTTGAATTGTTTGCCCTAGCTTAACATTTGTTCAGATGGACAAGACTTTTCCTAAGGTAAAGAGTGCATTTTAGAATTCGCTCACAAAGTGGCGCTAGTGGGTCATTCATTTTGAGTTGTAGCCCTAATAACATCTTGACTAGATAGAAGGTTCCCGACTTGGGCAAAGTTGTTCAGATGGATTTTAAGTTTGTTTGCCCTTAGATGGACTACATAGAAGGTTTTCATTTAGGGTAAAGTGGATCAGATGGACAAGACTTATTCTAAAGTAAAGAGTTTAGTTCAGAATTCACTCACAGGGTAGTGACAGTAATGTGACAATAACGTTGAATTGTTTTCCCTAAATTAACATATGAACTGGACAGAAGGTTTCCGTATTCCGTAAAGTTGTTCAGATGAACAACAATTATTCTAGACTATTTATGAGAAAAAGCAGAGGCGTCACGTGCCTCATTTGTTTACCTGTGCACCAAACTTTGTTCGTTCGTTATAGTTGACCACCACATATTAGTTTTTGTTTTATTTTTCAATGCTCCATGAAAGGGACTATTATATTACTATATTAATCACTACCTAATGTAACATTTAAAGTGCCTATCATCTTGTGTAAACAAAACTTGTATGGCCCTTTTCGCACTAACCGAAGTAGGAGGAATTGCAAAGCTTAACTAATTCAAGCTGAACATTGCTTTCGGTCCTAAGTAATATTGATCGATTCTCTTTGTCGATTTTCTCTTTCATTAATAACTTGAGCCCATAACCATTTCTTGTTGTGTTTGTCCTATTAGATGCTAGATAAAAGCTTCTTTTATCGTTAGGTGTGCTGAAAATACCTGAGAATGTCTTTACATGGCCGTGGAGATACAAAGAGAAAGTCAACGGGGAGAATCTGTCAATGTTACTTAGGACCTAATGCAATGTTCAGCTTGAATTATCGTTTTTATCAAAAGGCCAACTCTTTTGACTGAAGTGTAATAAAGAATATCCGTCAAACACTTCCGAAAACATTTTTTGATACAAAACAGTGTCAAAATCTAGCGAAAATTCAAAGAGTCCCTTGGGTAGCAAACTTGAATTAATCACCTCTTTATTCATCAGAACAACACTATCAGAATGAACCAGCGGAAGCTCATAAGTTTTGACAGGCGCACCGGCGCAACTATCGGTAATTGAGAGATTCACAGCTGACAAGAGAGTGAGAGCGAGCTTTTGCACTCTCTTTCTCCATTACTCTTTTCGTCTGCAATCAGATATCCAAGTGCACAGCGCGAAATGCACGCTTTAGGCACCCATACATCACAAATATTCTTCTAATTTAAACTCACACACTCAAACCGGTCTGCGAGAATGATACACGTCCAAAGCGTACCAGACTGCTGTTTCTGTGTTGCTCCCGTTTGACGCGTGACTGCGCCATGTATTGTGAAAAATTTGTGGTATGTTTCAAGAGGTGATAGAAGGTCTGCTTGGCTTACATCAGGCATATCATCAGGCTCGGCTTCCCGGGCTGCGATAGGTTAATCTATGACGAACTTCAACCACGCAACTTCGAAGTCGTAGCACTGCAGGAACTTTGCTGGACGGGACTAAAGGTATCGAAAAGCGGGCATCGAGCGGCTACTTTCTACCAGAGCTGTGGCACCACCAACGAGCTGGGAGCCGACTTTGTGGTGCTGGGTAAGATGCGCAAACGCGTGATTGGTTGGCAGCCGATCAACGAGAGGATGTGCAAGTTGAGGATTAAGGGCCGTTTCTTCAACTACAGCATCATCAACGTGCACTGCCCACACGAAGGGAGACCCGACGACGAGAAAGAAGCGTTCTATGCGCAGCTGGAGCAGGTGTACGACGGCTGTTCGCAACGGGACGTCAAAATCGTCATCGGCGACATGAACGCTCAGGTAGGACGGGAGGCAATGTATAGACCGGCAATCGGGCCAAACAGCCTGCATACCGTATGGAATGACAACGGCCAACGATGCGTGAACTTTGCAGCCCCTCGGAGTATGGTAGTTCGAAGTACCTTTTTCCCCCGCAAGGATATCCACAATGCCACCTGGAGATAACCTGACCAACACACAGAAAACCAAATCGATCACGTTCTAATCGACGGGAAATTCTTCTCCGACATTATCAACATCCGCACGTACCGCAGTGCGAACATAGATTCGGCCCACTAACGGTGCATAACACCTATCGAAGCCGAACGCCGCTACCCAACATTGAGCAACTACGGGACGCTGGAGTTGCCCAGGACTACGCGCAGCAGCTGGAAGTTGCACTACCCACGGAAGAGCAGCTGGGTGCAGCTTCTCTTGAAGATGGCTGGAGGGACATCCGTTCCGCCATGGGTATTACTGCTGCAGCGGCACTAAGTACTTCAATCCCGGACCGCAGAAATGACTGGTTTGACGGCGAATGCAAACTGTTAGTAGAGGAGAAGAATGCAGCACGGGTGAGAATGCTGCAACACCGCACGAGATTGAATGTGGAGCGATACAGACAAGCGCGGAACAACCAAACCTCGGTTTTCCGAAGGAAGAAGCGTCAGCAGGAATACCGAGATCGCGAGGCGATAGAAAATCGTAAACGACACACCGAAGTTCTACGAGAAGCTAAATAGTTCACGCAAAGGCTACGTGCCGCAAGCCGATATGTGCAAGGACTTGGACGGTAACCTTCTCACGAACGAGTGTGAGGTGATTGAGAGGTGGAAGCAGTACTATGACGAGCACCTCAACGGTGAAGCAGCAGAAAACGAAGGTGGCACGGCAACAGACCTTGGAGCACGCGCAGAAGACGACAGACTACCGGCCCTTGATCTTCAAGAAGT